CAATTCGGTGATTACAACATTGCCTCCATACACGTGGCTGTAAAAATTAATTACCCTGTGTATCAGGTTCTCACTGCTTCCCTCAGCGGAAACCGTCGGAGTGTTTTTTGTCTGTTTTCTTTAGATTGCCTGAGAAGTTGTCGGTCTATTGCGTTTCCTGGGTGTTTGTTTTCGCTTGCTCGGTTTCCACCCATCTACATTGATATTCCATCGGATTGTGTGCAACGGCGGATATAATAGGATGCTCATTTTCTGCTGAATAGCACACCACATGCTTTCAAAACTATTGCGACAATTTCGCTTGAATCCAATCCATCGATTGGCATTCTTGTTTTCTAATCAGCTTTTTGGTTTCTTGTCCAACGGTGTTCCTGGGTCGCACATCCCGGTAACGTTTTTGCAATTTGATTAGATGAAGGCGCTTCTGGTAGTTTCCAGGTTTTTAGAACACGCACGTACACTTCGTGTTGATCGAACGGATGACATTCACAAAAAGCTTATTAGCCTCATAAGGTCGGGAATTGCCTCATGTGGTGAAAAATCTAGTGGTTTCTCGCTTAGCTACATTGTTTGACAGAGTTATCTCTCATCGTCAATACTGCTTAGTTGCGTTGTCAACTGGTTCATACGCGAGACGACCACCTATTGCTCTTTTGCTCAACTGAGCTCGTGTGTTTGTACGAATCATTTCAAAGTCGCAAATGGTACCGTGATCATAGGAGATAACTTAGATGTCATACGATCCATTATAAATATTGCAACTCTTCGCGAAATCCATGAGGCGGGATCAAACTATCAAAGGACAAGACCATTTCGTTTCACATTTCACAGTTCACGTCTCCAATAAATTTCATCGATAGGTTAATCACATTCGTGCATGCATTCACATCCTCGGAAAAATAGGAGCCCAGAGACGGAGTGTGCATCGATAACACCAGGTGAGTGTTTCTATAACTTCACTCATTACTCAAGACAGGGCTGACAGAACTTCGGGACATCACCTCGCTCGTTTCATGCTCAGGTTCGCACTACGGACCTGGAGGACCACGGACTACGTTGAGCAGCTCTAAGAAATCGGAATTCGAAGGATTTTGACTAGTTTGTCTACGGGACTTGACTCTGCAAGCAAGATGGAATATCTCTGATCGTCGTTCTTGGTCAGATATCATCAGAGATATCCAGGGTAAACCGGGTCTACCTTTCCCAGAAGCTGGCCCCATAAAAGAAAATTTTTACACCCAACACAGCCGTGTGTCTGCGTACTTGAACACGAATTTAGACACGGTAAAAAGAAGCGATCCACAATCTAAGATAGTTTTATCGTTTTGGGGCGACAAAATGACGGGGGGTTTTGGTGGTTTTAAAGAACATTTGTCTTTTAAAAACCATGGACTAAAAACTACAGTACGGATGCTCAGTTCTGCTATCACAAGTGTTTGTTGCGATTCAACTAATTACCTTACCTTTGAGTATTTCCGCCTTAGTTCACGTTGATACCCACCGACCGGTACGATAAAAAAAGAAGGTAAAATGTTGAGTGTTTTGAATAAAGCATTACTTTCTGTACCGCCTCGGATGAGCAAAAGTTGAGTATTATCTGTGCTCGCGCGTGAGCAATTTTCGTTGGTTATCCGTTCGAATCGTTCTAGTCCCGTTCTCCCAGTAGTCCGAGTAGAATGAGGAATAGATTGACCAGGTCCATATACAGCTGGATACTGGCGAAGATGTACTCCTCTGGATTCATTTCGTATCTTCGACCGCCCACGACCATTTGCGTGTCGAAAGCTAGATACTTTTATTGGAAGCATCAGCGGGAGGTAATTGTCCCATCATTGTAGTTGTCAATGGGGTATATAATGTACAACAATGAGTATGTGCACAAAATAAGGCCCTAATATACATTTTGGATTAACAACTAACCTTTGTTAAGTTGCACAAATCGATACCCAACTAATCTGGCTCATTTATTGTTATTTTGACTGTTTATTTCCCATGAAATCAGCTTTCTCGATGTGATTGATCAATTACTTCTTTTCTTATTCACCTTTTTATGTGATCAACAGCAGACGAGGGAAACTCCATGATCATGGTAACTTGTAATTCACCAACCTAAGCTGTAGGACTTACAGTGGCGAATCACATAAGGCCCTGATAGGTCAGGCGCGCTATTAAGCTGAGTAGTAGTAACTTCGATTGAGGTCCGTGCAGTATAGGAATGCGCGAGGACAACTGAACAGAGTAAACGAAGTCAACCAAGGTTAGTCTAGTCATGCATTGACATCAAGTTCTCAAGGGATGAGGCAGTCATACGAAAGAGAACGAGATGGGCACCTCAATTCGATCGCTAATCTAGTAATGACGGGCGTGTTTGTATATAAATACATGACTCCTGAGGAGCCTTCCGAACAGGTCACGTGCGTGTGTCGGGGGGGGGGGGGGGGGGNGTTTATTGATAAATGAAAAACGATGAACCGGTAAAGAATGCATATGGGTCAACCAACAGAAAGGAACAATACAGGTCACAGGTGAACTTGTGCATTTGAAGCGATACTTAGTAAACGGTGTGTCTACAAGTATATACACATATCTGAGACCGGGAAGACTAAGCACTACCTTGGTTATGTAAGATATATATATATATTTCACGCACGTTTGAGTTCAGACTGTGTACCAAACATCAGAATTGGATAACCAGTACGAAGGGAATGTCAACGGATAAAAAGAATAATATAGTGGATAGTGCGAAGACAGAACAATAATAACAGCATTGAGTGATATGGCTGAGCTTCGTAGATAGTGACGCTCGTGCATTTGGTCAAAGTCCTCGCAGACTCGGTCATATGGTAACCTCGACAATGCTTTCAATATTCGGCAATGGTGGCCAAGTGGTTATGTCACCAACTTGTGACCTGGGTGTCCCTGGTTCAAACCGCTCCACCGCCGTTCGTCTTCCCTATTTCTGTATTTTCCCGGACAGCCTTTGTATGGCCGTGGTCACCCTCCCTGAATGTTGACTGTGCATTTATGTATGCACTAAATAATATAGAAAGTAAAAAGACAAGTATTGAAAAAAATTTCATCTGAATGGGCTGGTAAAATAAGGAAACCAAAATCTGCATCGGAAAGTGCATGGTTAATGATTGTTCCAACTGAACTGAGTCGTTGAATATCTTCCATAAGTTAGCACAGGCTCTTACAACCATGATGCAAAGCTGTCCGCACAGCGGTATAGCATATGTGCATTCGCCTTCAGAGATTATTCACATCCCCACCGTAAGTGTTTCAGTCCATACAGTGCAACTGGATCTGCGGTTGTGCGCTCAGTCACATCCCTAATTGGTCTACAATCATTGGAGACGATATTGTTAGGTAAGGAAAGCAATCAATATATCTCAGAACGCCGATAGTCGTCACCCAGTCTTGTGGTATCACTGCAATTTGAGTTTTTAAAACGCATTCTGAATGGAGCAGCCAAACTTGTTAGTTTGTCCAGTGCGTTTCGCGCATCATCCATACATTCCCCACAGAAAGACAAGGAGATCGACCTACTCCAGGTCGTGTTGATCTTCTCTAGCTGTCCATTGAGTATCAACATCTTGTAGATCACTAGGTGCATTCTTGAATAATTCGTCTGTGATCAGAAATGACAAAATATGCCTCTGGTTGGAATCCTGACTGTGTTTCGCGGATATGCGTCATTCTCTGAAGCGTCAAGCGGCGAACTATTGCGGAAGCTAACGCTTAGCTCACAGTGATTTTCTCAGTCACTGCCTTATCCCCGTTAAAAAAACGGTCAGTCATTCTCCGCAGGTTGAGGGAATACTCTTCCTTGGGCAGATTCACTGCAATCAATTTGTTTAGCCCGCTATAAGTGAGTATTCTTCGATTGCCTTTCCAGTCCCTGGTGATGGAATGTGACGTCGTACACCTAGCTCCTTTGGGATTTAACATGACACTGCCCAGGATGCTTCAGCTGCAGTCGCCGGAATGACCTGGCTAGCAATGCTCTCTGCATCGATCTAGCCGTTGTTCCCTGTAAATCATTCGTCCATTTTCATAAAAAGCTGATAACCGCCGACCTATGGTCTCGCAAATCAGCTGGAACAGTTCACTGATTCCATGGAGCCACTGGTAATTCCATTTCACAAGATAATTCTGTCCATCAGTTT